TAATATGTTTGCAGGATGTATAATAATATGTTTGTATGCAAAACGAAAGTGAAGGTAATGAGATAAATGGAAAATCTATAAACGACACGTTTCGCCGAGAGCGTCTGCGCCCTTCGGCTTCTTCAGATTAGAGAATGAAATTAAAAACTGTAAGGAAAAATGAGATTTCTGAAAAATGAGAGCGGGAAGCGGGTATAAATCAAATGACTTTATCCCATCCGATGACCAGACACTCCCTGTTTGTATGTAGGCCCATATAGAGCGTTGTAGTTTCTGTACCCAATGACCTAAGCTCGAGGAGATATACATTTCAAATTTCTAAATTAATATGTCAAATATAACCGCGTATCTATTATGAAATTCCTGTGTTTGTATATAAGCTTTTATATACAAGGATTTACACACACATATAACATCTAGTCATGTTGTTAAAATGAATGGCATGATGAGAAAACTTAATAGGGGCGTGTTTGAAAAGAAACGCCTGCAGACACATTTACCCATTATTCTTCTGATATACATATATTTATATCATTTCTTACACACACACACACACACACACACACACACACACACACACACACACACACACACACACACACACAAATATATGTTTTCCGTGCCTCCCCTGTCATCAGATTCATTCGACTAGAAGAGGGAAATAATGAACTGATTTTCTGGTAATTTACTGTTTGTTTGGAAAGTCGTTTTCCAATATGAAAAGTGCATTCTTTTTATTACGAATCTGTAACCTAGGAAATGTTTCTGGATGAAGAATAACTAAAACGAAAGTTGGAAATGAAATGGTAAGTTCTTATAACAAAATACAATACTCGCCAGCGGCGTGAAGTAGGTAAACCACTGTTAATGGTGGACTACATGGACAGCATATTACCCACACTTACCCTAGTGTCCAACGTATTTATGAGGATTGAGACATGCCCATTAGACTCTCGAATACAGAGGCCAGTAGATATAAATTCACAGTGTTACAAATCAGGGATGCCTATTCAAATACGTATATCCACTAAAATTAACGTTTAAAGTAATATGACACATACATACAATCAGTCACGCACACGCACGCATCTCACACACACACACACATATATATATATTGTGTGTATATATGATCAGTATCATATGCATATATACAAATACACAGACATAAAACAGATTTACATAGATATGTATATATATGTGTGTGTATGTATGTATATATGTAATTGTGCATATTTGTATATATGCATATATTGCTGTTTATATATTATGTGTGCGTGAGTGACTGCATATATATGTGTTTGTGTAAATTTGTGTGTATATTTGTATATATGCATATATTATTGCACACGCATTATACATACACACACTCTCACACACACACATATACATATATATATATATATATATATATATATATATATATATATATATATATAGAGAGAGAGAGAGAGAGAGAGAGAGAGAGAGAGAAATTAATAGATTATATTTTTAATAATCTTTAATATTATTTATTTGAACTTAACCGTTCTATTTTGAAGGGCGTATGTATTTAAGTAGAGGTTCACTTAATTTTTACAGTGTGACGTTGCATCTATCGGTCTTTGTATTCGAGAGTTTTAATAAAGTATATGTGCCCCCCGCCCACTCCAACAAATTCTGGTCCTGTTGACATTTTCTTCATTAAGACTTTCGAAAGCACAGGCCGGCAGATATAATTCTCAATGTTTAAAATGGTAATGTCTTCCGACACAAGCATCCACTAAAATATAACGTTTAATTCATAATATATCTAACACACCCAAACGTTTATATATATATATATATATATATATATATATATATATAAGTTTTACTTTTAAAAAGTCTTTTTGAAGAAAAATATTTCTCGTATTGTCTTTTTACAAATATATTTTATTTATATTTGAACCTTCAGACACACGCGTTTAAATTTTCCTATATTTGTGAGGTAAGAATAATGAACGGCAGATATTGAGCATTTGTAGATATTCTTTTCTCTCTCTCGCTATATATATATATATATATATATATATATATATATATATATATATATATATATGTGTGTGTGTGTGTGTTTGTGTGTGTGCGTGTAAAACATCCACATGT